CTGAAATGACCTCAATGCAATCAAGCACATGCATCTTACTAGGTAAACCATCTGCAAGTAAAGCATTACAGGGGCGTCGCCAAAGGGGGGGTGTGGGGTGTGGGGGTGCGACACCCCCCCCACCTCTCAGGATATTATCGGTAAAATTGCGCTGCCGTCGGAAAAAAAGAGAAAAGGGGGAGGGAAAAAAGAGGGCAAGGGAAAGAAAAGAAAAAAGAAAAGAAAAAGAAAAGAAAGTAAGGAAAAGAAAGGAAAGAAAGGAAAAGAAAGGAAAGAAAAGAGAAGAAAGAAAGGGAAGGAAAAAAAGAGGGAGGAGAGGAAAGAAAGGAAAAGAAAGAAAAGGAAAAAAAAGGAAAACAGAGAAAAGGGAAACAAAAGAAACGTGGGGGTGTGAAAGAGAGGAGGGGGAAGGTAAGAGCCTGAGAAAGCAGGAGTGGGGGTAAAAGAAAGGGGGGTCGTTGGGTGGAGTCGTTTCGTCAAGGAATAAAAAAAGACACGGGTAAATATGTTGCTGTGTCGTGTCAGCTGTGTCGGTATTTTTGCTCGATCCTCGTGTACTATATCAATGCAGAAGTTTGAAGTCGGTGAGATGTATATTGTCGGTCGGCCGACAATTTTTTTTCCCCTACGAACTGTGACTTTGTATCCGCTGTGACGACTTCGAGAGTGACTACAACTACAATACTTGTATTTTCTCGAAGTTTCACTTTCCTATAATTATCAGCTAAAGAAATCAGAGATTTAACATTTTCAGGGAAACTAAATCCAAACAAGGATTTAAGAGTCAACAACGATACAACGAATCGTCTTCCTTTCTCTATATTTTGATAAAACGCCAAAATTTCCGCGCTTCGCGCGGGAGGGGAAAACTTCATTTAGACGGGTCGAGAACGGTACAATAAATCGTCTTCTTTTTACTAATAATTTAGGGAAACGTCTAAGCTTCCGCGCTTCGCGCGGAAGGCCTAACACCGACACCCCCTAACGAGCGCGCTTCGCTTGCTCACTAAAATAAAATAAAATAAGATCCTAGCTCCGCGCCTGCATTAAAATATATAGCTATGATGTTGACTAAGTTGACAAAATAATTAATAATAATATTTGTGTCGTCGAGGAAATTGATCATTTGCGCATACGCAAGCACTATAGATAGTCCATAGGAAAAACAATTTAGCCTTCGGCCCCGGGTTTATAGGGTTATTTGTAGATATTGAGACACTTAATTTTGTCGGTAATTGGTGGCTAGTTTTGTCGGTAATCGTTGGCCTCTACACCAACCCAACCCCCCCCCCCCCCCTGAAAAAGGTCTAGCGACGCCCCTGATACAATGTATTAGGTCATCGTGGAAGTTCTAGAAAGCAACAGGGGAGGGATCAAAATAAGCTTCGAAGGGCACTTATACGTAAAGAAGAGAACCCTTTCAGACGGGAAAATTAGATGGCAGCCTTTCTGCTTATTCCTATTTATACAAATCATTTTGTTGCAGTTTGATGTCAGTTCTTCACGATAAGCCAATTGCTCTTCTTCCGGTGGTTCCGTGAGCCCCTTAAAGTCAGTGAAAACAAAATACTCGAATGAGGCGGGTGTTTTACACACTAATATAAAGCTACATGCACTTAACTGAAGGAAAGAAACCTATACTATAGAAAACGGACTGGATATTATTGAAAATACTATTGTAAACAAGAATGTACTACATGTACCAGTGGCGTAGACAGGTTCGTACACCTGGGGGATGACTCAGGGACGGATCTAGCTTTTTGACGCAGAGCATCGTCCACGAGCCGCGAAGCGGCGAGCCGATTTTTTTGGGGGGTGTTTATTTGAACCCCGTAAGTGATGTTTTCCTGGCATCTACATGTATTAACACAATAGAGACCATAAAAAGCAGTGCATGATAACGTCTTTTTAAATCAAGTAACAGTTAAATACACAGTTATATCCAGAGTTATCATGTGTTTGGTTAAGTACCAGATGAGCTGAATATCTTCTCACAATATTTGCACTTGAAAGGGTTTCTCTCCAGCGTTTTTTTTTTTTTTTTTTTTTTCTTCTTTTTTTTCCCTTTTTTTGTTTGTTTGTTTTTTGGGCCGCCCAAGGGGGGGGGGGGGGGGGGGTTTAAACCCCCTAAACCACCCCCCCCCGTAGATCCGTTCCTGTTTAATCTTGTGGTTATCTTGTGGTTTCCAAACCACAAGATAACCACAAAATACTTGTAAGATTTTCTTTTTTTTTACCGTCTGAATTGGCTTTCACCGTGTGAATGCGGCTAATAACAATAAACACAATTACAATAATGATGAGGATTATTATTATCATCATCATAATTATTATTATTATTAATATTATAATTGTTATCATTATTATTATTACTATTATTATCATCATTATGACTTATTAAGTAAGCAAATATCATTCCCCAAAACCTGGGGGGGGATGATTGTACATGCCATCCCCCCCCCCCCCCACCTTGTGAGGTGGGGGGATGCATCCCCCTCATCCCCCCGTTGTCTACGCCCCTGACATGTACTACATTACGTTAGAATTTCACGAGAGAAATAGAACTCGAGAGGGGAAAAAAAGAAGAAGTGATGAAAATGAAAGAAGACTAATAGCACGAGAGGAAAGAAAAGAGCTAAGAAGACAAGAAAAGGGTATAAAAAGGAAAAGGAAGAGCAAGAGAGAGAGAGAGAGATAACCTTGAGCTTTGGATCGGCTAATGAGTAATAAATGAAACAGATTTTGAGCGGAGTAATTATCTTTCTCCGGAGAACTTGCATAAGGAGCTAAAACTTGATGTTTTTTTTAAATCAAACATTATGGGGAATAGCACAAAACTGTTGAGCATTTATTGCACTAATTGCCAAAGGAGCATTCATGTCTTCCACGAGGCCGCACTTTTGGATCAGAGAGCAATTTAATTGTCGGCGGAGCATTGTCTTTTGCGGGGTACTTCTGGGGAGGAGCAACAATAATATTGTCGTAGTAGCATTTGTATTTTACGGGGCACTTTTTTAGCGGAGCAAATGTCGGCGGAGCAATTGTCGGCGGAGCAACTGTTGTCCGAGGAGCATTTGTCACCGGAGCAATTGTCGCGTTTTGCGGAGCAATTGTCGGCGGAGCAATTGTCGGCGGAGCAAATGTCGGCGGAGCAATTGTCGGCGGAGCAATTGTCGGCAGAGCAAATGTCACCGGAGCAATTGTCGCGTTTTGCGGAGCAATTGTCGGCGGAGCAATTGTCGGCGGAGCAACTGTCGTTCGAGGATCATTTGTCACCGGAGCAATTGTCGCGTTTTGCGGAGCAATTGTCGGCGGAGAAATTGTCGGCGGAGCAAATGTCGGCGGAGCAATTGTCGGCGGAGCAATTGTCGGCGGAGCAAATGTCGGCGGAGCAATTGTCGGCGGAGCAAATGTCGGCGGAGCAAATGTCGGCGGAGCAAATGTCGCGGAGCAATTGTCGCGTTTTGCGGAGTAAATGTCGCCGGAGCAATCGTCGGCGGAGCATGTGTCATGGAACCCCTAACAGCTATGAAGGAAACCAGGACTGCGCCGAATTTCACGCGTCCAACAAATATACGTGGAATGATCTCGCTTGTGATACGGACGGTGACAGTCAATTAGTTGCGACAGCTTATGTGTGTAAATTACCACAGTGGTAATGTGTGTAACGACCACGGTGGCAATGTGTGTTAGTGACCACAAATTGAATTTGAAATGGAAATTGAAATTAATTATATATCGTCCATTCGGAAATTTGTTAAAATTGTTAAAAGTTAATACAGAGATCAATAAATAATCATAATCATAAACAGTTGAAGTAATGGTAAACTTAATTCACAATATCTTTAGTTGGATAAATTACATGAAATACGTTTCGGCATCACGATTCCGACAGAGCGAGAGAGTTGAAGAGGACCAAACGAAGTTATGCAGAGGAGATGGGAAGAGCTGTGAAAAAAAAGATATAAAGAGAGATAGTCAACATCAGATCGTGGATGATAATAAACAGGGAAAAAGGATATATGGATATACTGTATGTGGATATATGTTTTCAAATTACCACAGTGGCAATGTGTGTATTGTTTAAAGCCACCATACTGTTGATGTGTTTAAAGTATTACAGTGGTGATATGGGTAAACTACCATAGTTGGAATGTGTGTAAACGACCACAATTGGAATATGTGTAAACTACCACAGTGTTGATGTGTGTAAACTACAACAGTGGTTATATGTGAACACGATTACATTAGTAATGTGTGTTAACGACCACAGCAGTAATATGTGTAAACTACCCCAGTGGGAATGGGTTTAAAGTATGACAGTGGTGATATGTGTACACGGCCACAGTGGTGATATGTGCAAACTACCACATTATTATTACGTGTAACCTACCACGGTGGTAATGCGTGTAAACTACCATAGTGGTGATATGTATAAACTACCACAGTGGTGTAACGACCACAATGTTGGAGTGTTTAAGGTACTACAATGGTAATACTAGATATGAACGACCACAGTAGTTACGTGTGTAATCGACCACACTAGTAATTTGTTTAAAATACCATAGTGGCAATGTGTGTTAATCGACCATATTCGTGAAGTATATAGAATACCATATTGGTAATGTGCGTAAACTACTACTTTGGTAACAGTCATTTGTAAACGACCCCGTTTTATATCCTTCACAAAGTTGACATAAAAAACAAAATTGCCTGTAAGATTACAAAATGTTTGGCTAATCAGATGTATCATTTTAAGAATCCAATCAAAGTAGAAAAATAGTTTGACCTAAATTATGAATAGGTAAGAAAGATATAGGGATATCTAATAGACGAGAGGAAGAGAGATAGAACGATAGGCAGATAGAGAGAGTGTATGTATGTATGAGAGAGAGAGAGAGAGAGAGAGAAAGAAAGGAAATTAGTCTATTTAACTGGAGCGGATTTCCTACATTTCGTTATCTTAGTGCCAACATCCGTCATATTAAAAACTTTTTTTTAAATGTAAAAACTTACGCTTTATGGGCGTATACATTAAAAACAACGAAACAAGCTCAGCCTTCTATAGATTCTGAGTATCGGGATACATTTTCTCATTATAGGGGCAACATCCATCATATTAAAAACATATATTTTGTTATATTCTTGTGAACAGTTGCTAAAGAACAGACGTTTATTTGTAGCCAAAATGTTCATCAAGATAGTCACGATCTTGGTCATCGCATCGTCAGCTGTGATGCTGCCGGTCCTACCGGGCTGCCAAGCCGGAGGGTGTGGGTGTCCTCCTCTGTGGACAGCCTTCCAGAATAACTGCTACAGGTAAGCATACATAAAAAAAAAATAAAAAAAAAGATTTTATAAATAACGATTATGATAATAATGATAGTAACAATAATAATAATAATAATGATGATATAAATAATGATAATAATGATGGTGATAATGGTAATAATAATAATTATTTAAAACAAAATAGTACTAAATGATAAAAGTCACATTAGTATTGCGCCCAATACTGTGTTTCTATACAGTGTGAGTCAAAAACAAGTTTACACCTTGAACATTGCTAATTATTTAAAAAAATCATCTATGAACAGTAAATTATTATTATGAAAGAGTGTTTTATCCCAAATCCTTTAGTATCATTTTTGCGTGGTATGTGTTCACGCTTGGATGAACAGGAGGCATTTTTTGCGAGAGTGATGTTTGAATTATACAATTGGTAATTGGGTATTAATTCGCCCTTTGCGGATCCAAATAACAGCCCTAACATAATTAATCATGCCACACATATCAAATATCGAATATTAAATATCAACGACATTTGTGCGCGCGTGTGTGTGTTTGTGTGACTTTGCTTCTGCAAAAAGCATATGCGTTTGCATTTCATTCGATACATTCAATTCATTCTCCCACTCCGCTAATCCGCACGTAATACATGCTGTGGGCATCACTTTGGCGCAAGTCGATTTGTGCACTCTCGCAAACGATGCCTCCTGTTCATCGAAGCGTGAACACATACCACACAAAAGTGATACCAAATGATTTGGGATAAAACACTCTTTCATAAGATGTATAATGATATACTGTTTACAGATGATTTTTAAAATAATTAGCAGTTTTCTACATGTAGGTGTAAACTTTTTTTTGACTCACACGGTAGTGAATGTGGATATTCAAAGCGTTTACATTGTAATGATTACCCCGGTCATTGGATTCATTTGCTAATCTGCACATGATAGTGCACACGTTCAACTTCGGGGGGGGGGGGGGGGGGGGGGGGTAATCCGGCAGGCGCCATTTTACAAGCGCACACTTGCCAATCAAACCACATTAACATTCGCCTCCTACCGGGTACTCACCCATTTAAAGGGACTTGGTAACATTGTTCAGATGAGAGATAGTGGTGCTAAGGTATTGACTTCAATGCTAGATGTACAATTCATGATAATCTGAAAATTTGAGTGAAAAACGGACCATTATTCATTGTATAAATTGGGAAAAACTGATCTGATCGATTCCTTAATTCTCCCAACTATATTATTACAATTTAATTACATTTTAGGTGAATGTAAATTGTCACAAAGCAATAAAATGGCTCTACATTCCATTCCAGACATTTAAGTGTTGACAGATTTTTTAAAGCCTGTTTTATGTCTTTTTTTCATGGAAAAACGGTTGGGAAAATTCAAAAATGGTTGGGAGAATTTACTGTTAATCAGTGTTAGAGGGTGTCATACATTGACGCCTTCAAAGAAAACCATAGATATCTTCGTGGTTTGAGAATTTTTTCAGGATTTTTTGCTTGTCAGAGGGTTAGTACAGTAAAAGGAATATAGTATGTAACATTTTATACAAAAATTAAGCAATTTTTTCATCAACCTTCAACAATGTTACCGAGTCACTTTAATACCTGGTAAATGTAGATCATTGTCTTGTCAAAGGACATTAGTACCGTGGTGGGACTCGAACCGCGAACCAGGGGGATCTACATTGACGTATCCACTAGACCACGACACCTCTATAGATCAGGAGACTATAAATTTTCAGTTTTCAAGAGAAAGTTGAGTTCTTGTAATATCGAAGAATAATTTTTGGCTTTGTCATTCTTTTTATGTCTGTTTGGAAAACACAGAAATGTGTATGAAAAGGATTGCTCTCGCTCTCATATTCAAAATGACACGAAATGGCTTACTCGGCCAAGCAGTGTTGCCACCAGCGTAGCACTTACGTGTACAGTGCATTTGCTTTTCCTGCTTTTAGATATGGCTAATTTATGAATGTGTTGATTCCAAAACCCCTGTGGGGTATTTGTCATGGGGATGATATCGGATCAGGGGCGTACGCAGGATTTTTTTCAAGGGGGGGGGGGGGGGGGGTTTTGCTCAAGCGGACACTTTTTTTTTTTTTTGGGTCTCGAAATTTCAAAATTTGACATTTTTCTTCGTTGGGGGGGGGGTGAGGTCACCTTTTTTAGGTTAACCGTGGGTATAATTTTTTTTTTTTTTTTTTTTTTTTTTTAAATAATAAAAAAAAAAAAAAAAAAAAAAAAAAAACCCTAAGGGAGTGGGGGGGTTTGGTTTTTTTTTAGGGGGGGTTTACACACATAAAAATACCAAAGGGGGGGGGGGGGGTTTGAACCCCCAAACCCCCCCCCCCCCCCCTGCGTACGCCCCTGTATCGGGCATAATCAGGAATACCTGTCCAGATTCGTTGGTGCTGAATCTTACATAAACACTCACTACATCATTTTACGTGTTTTTATTCATTTTTTTTTACCTCCTCAACCATTTTATCGATGTATTTCTTTGTTTCCTATCTCGTTTTTTTATGACCATGTATCTTGTTATATATGATTACTGTAAGAAAGGTGGAGCAAGCTTGCCAATAAGTGCGTAGAGTTCTGGCACTATAATTTTTTTTTTTTTTTTTTTTTTAAACTTAAGTGTTTTCGTGATTCTTGCCGAGCAGGCGTGATAACGATTCAGTTTAGGAGAATATGAGCAAGTGAAGCGAGTGAACTATTCTATTCTATTCTTCTGGCACTGCTTCAAATTGACATTTTTTTAAGTTTAGAACAAAAATCTTTCAGATTCGTTTGAAATATTGTCATCTTCCTAATTATCTTCCTAATTTCTCGCTAGGTATTTCTCGGTGAAAAACATTACTTGGCTTGGAGCTGAGATGCACTGCTCTGGTTTCTCCGTTCCTTGTTCTGATGTTGACTCTACCATCAGCCTTGGACATCTCACTTCTATCCATTCGAAAGAAGAGATGACCTTCCTTTCAGTGCTTTATGAAAGCATCCGCAGTAAAGTGGTACGCTTTTAACTTCCCTTTTCTGTTCAAAGTAGCCTTTAATTTCTTCCATTTTATCACATTAAACGGTACTCAAATATTAAATACATAATGATATACATGTAAGATGGGTTGGGAACTGATGCATAACAACTGTTAAAAGGAAGAGGGCGTAAATCCCATTAAGAATAAGCTCGTTAGGGTACTCATAATATGGAAATGAAGGGCTAAGAAATAAGGGAAAGAAAAGGAGATGGAATATGAATAATATAACATTTGATAATGAAATGGCAAGATTTAAACAACGAAGAATACTAGAATGATACTGTTTCATAAATTGGATGCTCGAACGATTTAAAAGGGAGGTCTGAATTGGGAGACTAGCCCAATTTGGGCAGGGGTTTTGGAAGTGTGTATAAAGTTTGGAGCTGAGGTAGTTTTGGGGTGAGAACGGTTTTCGAACTTAGAAGGAGCTGGGAAGATGTTGCTCGAGAGCTTTTAAAGCCAAAGGGCAAGAACCAGTATAAATGTGAGTTAAAGGTATTACAAAGTTTTGGTATGGGGTCATGAATTTGGTTCAAATTAACAATTTAGGAATACATATGCGTTCCTAAAATATACATTGATCGTTGTCGCGGTTGAAATCGAGTCTAAAGATATGAAATTATAAATGATAAACTCTTTATGTTGTATAGCTCCCTCTCAAGGTCAATATATTAATTTAGCTATAAAACAATGTTTCTTGACTAAAATTGACCGATTAGCTATTCCTGTTTGGAAATTCTATATCACAACTACATATTCTGAGATTTTCATGGTCGCAGCTACCATTGTACGGCCATAGGCGCTATTTGAAATTTATCAAAATTTACCGGGAGCACCGGTAAATTTTTATATTCAATTTTTCTTGGAACCAGACTCGTTTTAGGGGCTAAATTTTCTAGTGATTATAATACATCCACAGGGGCATCTAAATATTAAAAAATTGTAAAGAATCCCTATCCACCCAATTTTCAAAATTTCCCAAAACGTTGTATTACCTTTAAATGTAACTGTAATTAGGTTGTGGCAAGTAAATACACTGTTGGTCATAATGGTAAAATATTTGTTTTATCATACTTAAGGGCGTAGGTTCCCTAGTTGATAAGCATATTGCATACCCATGCTTTAGCAGTCACGCAAACACACATTGGCAAATTATTATTCAATAAAATCTGAGAATGTATACTACACTGTTGGTCATAATGGTGGAATAATTATTTTTACCCCAGTTTAGGGAAGGATTTAAAAAATGATTTTTTTTTTAGAGCCATTTTTTTTAACCATAATGCATGGCCACACAGAGGATTTTTTCCTGTGGGGGACTGGGGGAATGTGCAATTAATTTTTGATAATTAATTGCATTTTTTCGTTTTGGGGGATTTATGGGGGCGGCCGCGTACCCTAGCATCCGCTGCGTGCAGTCATGATTCATCGGCTAAGCAATGGCCTCCTAACTGTGAGGTCCCAGGATCAAAATCGTGTCGATCAGCCATATTATTGCTCTTTTATGAGGCATTAATCCTCATTACTGTCAATCATGAATTAAGGACGTAGTTTCCCTAGTTGATTATCATAGTAGCACATAAATGATTTAGCACTCACACAAAACAAACACTCGCAAATTATTATTCAATAAAATCTAAGAATGTATGCCATTATCTAGATCTATTAAAAATAAATCATTTTTTAAATCCTTCCCTAAACTGGGGTAAAAATAATTATTCCACCATTATGACCAACAGTGTATTATCTATAGATCTATTATTTTTAAATTATTTTTAAGATAATTCCATAAATTGGGGTAAAACAAAAATATTCCAACTATATGAGCGACAGTGTGATTTTTTTTTGCATTATAAGGCTCTCGGTAAAATAAGTTTTTATGTGATCACCGTATGTAGAATGAAACCCCCCCCCCTCCCTCACTCTCTCTCTCTCTCTCTCTTGTATACTCTACCTTTCCACGTTTTCCCACCCTTTTCCTTGCTTTATCCCCTTTTAAATAAGTGCTACACACTTTTTTGTTAATAGGTTACATCCACTACCTATGTATGGATCGGTCTGCATGACAAGACTACGGAAGCCAGCTGGGAATGGAGTGACGGCTCGAGTCAAGACTATGAGATATGGGCGAGTGGACAGCCTAACAACTATGGTGGAAACCAGGACTGCACCGTGTTCAGTTCGACTTCAGAATATAAGTGGAATGATTTCGCTTGTGATTCTGACGGTGACAGTCCACACCATGCGACAGCTTATGTGTGTAAACTACCACAGTGGTAATGCGTGTAAACATCCACGGTGGTAATGTGTGTAAATTACCACAAATTGAAATTGAAATTAACATTGAAATTAAGTATATATCGTCCATTCTGAAACTTCTTTTTCATTGGTAAAAGTTTACAGAGATCAATTTACTAAAAGAAATACTCATAATCATAAACAGTTACAGTAAAGGTAAACTAAATTCATAACAGCTTTAATTGGGTAAGTTACATGAAGTAAGTTTCGTATGATGAGGATGCCGTCAGAGCAAGATAGTTGAAGAGGACCAAAGGTAGGTCTAGACAGAGAATATGGGTAGAGCAGTGAAGAAAAGATAGATAGAAAAAGAGATCGTAGATGATAATAAAAAAGGAAAAGGATAAATGGATATATGGATATTATGTGGATATAAAATTATGTGTAAATTACTACAGTGGCAATGTACGTCATCTACAACAATGTAGAAATGTTTTAAGCACTACAGTGGTAAAAGTGTGTAAACGATCACAATGTTAAAGGTAAAGACCAGTTTTGGAAACGCCCCAATTTCAAAAAATGAAATGGAAGCTCTCATTACCAATCATGTGAAAGAATATGTTTTGACTAATACATGATGATAAAAAAATTGCCGGGAAACCGCCTACTAATTCATATATTTGGTAAATTTGTTTCTCTCATGGTCTGTGAGAGATATAGGGTAGTCCCATATACATCTTTCTGTGTATAGTGCTTGTAACTTTACGAAGAATGGGCCAAATTTCTTATCATTTTGATGATTCCAGAACCTTGCAGATGCTAGATGCTAGATGATCCACCTTTTCTGATCGATTCCACAACGTTTCTTTCACAATGCAATCGCATGACCATAACTGGTCTTTACCTTTAATATGTGTAAGCGACCACAGTGGGAATATATGTAATCGACCACAATGTTGATGTTTTGTAAGAACTATAGTGGTAAATATGTGTAAATGACCACTGTGGTAATGTGTATAAACTATCACAGCGGTAATATGTGTAAACGAACTAAATTTTGATGTGTTTTAAATACTACAGTTGTAATGTGTGTACGTGACCACAGTAGATTATCACAGTGGTGATGTGTGTAAGCAAGTGTGTGCTAACGACCAGAGTGGTCGTTGACATAATCAATAACAGTTGCCTTTAAGGTAAATCAGATGTAACATTTTAAGAATCGTGTACAACAACAAAATATCATGCATATTTTGAGAGTAGCTAAATATATAGTTTGACCTGAACGTGAGAAGGTAAGAGAGATAGTTAGAGAGAGAAAGAGCGGTATTAGAGGGAAGCAGAGAGCAAAGGGTAGTGAGCAACAAAGACAAACAAAGATAGAAAAGGATCTATTAATGAAAGAATGGAAGAAAGGATGATGAAATGGGAGAGATAGAAAAGTAGGAGAAGGGTCGGAGAGTTAGAGAGAGAGAGAGAGAGAAAAAGGAGAGTGAGTGCGAGAAGGTAAGAGAGATGGTAAGAGAGAGAAATAGCGGTATTAGAGGGAAGGAGAGAGCGAAGGGTAGTGAGCAACAAAGAGAAACAAAGATAGTAAAGGATCTATTAATGAAACAATGGAAGAAAGGATGATGAAATGGGAGAGATAGAAAAGTAGGAGAAGGGGCGGAGAGTTAGAGACAGAGCGAGAGAGAAAGAGAGAGAAAGCAAGATATATAAAGAGAAAGATGGGAGAGAGAGAGAGAGAGAGAGGGGTGGGAGAGAGACAGATGAAAAAGATATATGACAGAAGAAAAAGAGATAGAGAGAGAGAGAGAGAGAGAGAGAGATAGAAAAGGAGAGTGAGTGCGAGAAGGTGAGAGAGATAGTTAGAGAGAGAAAGAGCGGTATTAGAGGGAAGGAGAAAGCGAAGGGTAGTGAGCAACAAAGACAAACAAAGATAGAAAAGGATCTATTAATGAAAGAATGGAAGAAAGGATGATGAAATGGGAGAGATAGAAATGTAGGAGAAGGAGAGGAGAGTTAGAGAGAGAGAGAGAGAACGATTAGGGGGGAGAGAGAAAGGTGGGAAAGAGAGAGATGAAAAGAGATATATGACAGAAGAATAAGAGAGAGAGAGAGAGAGGGAGAGAGAGAAAGATCAACCTAACGATGACGTTCGATTATATTTCGGAACCTGGTATAAAAAGTATTCCTACAGCGTCAAAGTGTAAAGCTGGAATATTGAACCTTAAATCCAAATATTGCAGATGAAACCCTGTCGTAAGCAATTAATATATATAATATAACAATGACATGTTTAAATCAAGGATTAGGGAGTCTCAGTATCCACACATAATGGATGTGATAATGCTATGTTATGTTGCTTGGTACAACGCACTGTTGGTTTTAAATGCTTTACATGAGGTCGGATGAGTAGGAGGAGCCTATCGAGGCCAAAAAATGGAAGCCTGCAAAAAACTAAGAAAACTGACCCGAATATCATCAGTTCATTTATGCAACAATAGATTAAACAATTATTAACAAGAGAGAAACATGATAGCGGGTGGACATTTTCTTTGGTACAACTAAATGTAAACGACCTTCATCAATTATTGGTGATTATTATACATCCCAGTAAAATTATACAAGAACACGGAGCTACCCTACAGCTTCACGTGCACATGGTTAAGCCTATGAAAAGCACTATTTGCATTGTATTTGAATAATTCTGTATTAGCTTCTGTGGGTGGCCGCTGTCTATAAAGCTCGTCATAGCCTTATTAGGCCAATTTGGTAGCATCGGGTTTTTTTTTTTTAGCAATAGGTATGTATATATCCACGGTTTTGGTATACTGCAGTGATTCGACACCTAGCGGCATAATATAGCGCTCAGGTAGTTGCTGAGCACGGAGAGATGCAACATCGGTAAGTAAATCACGCGTGAATAATTACTTTGTATAGAGAATTTCAATTGTAAATACCTACTGAATTTCCAATCCATTTATGACAGTAGTTTCAGGTCACTATTGACTAATCTAATTCAAGGTACAGTCACACTTGTCTCAGTGGCCACCTGTATATAAAGGCCATCTGTCTATAGCAGGCTAGTCACCTATAATATCTTCTCCCATGAGAAACCTGGATTATAGAATCCACATCGCCCTCTTGAATTGGGCCCAACGCTAGAAAATCTCTGATTTCTATCCGGTACCTAAGTGCAAACGATGCTCAATGTCAGGAGGAGATCTGATAACCGTTCGATCTTGCAATATAACTATATATATGAACATTAGTATTTCCTCCCAAAGCAGGGGCAGCAATTTCGAGACGGGGGAACACCCCCTAGAATTTGTTTGGGGAAAAGATTGACCCATAAATATTGCGTGCTATTTCACCCTGGTAAATAATCACTATTCCGAAATGGAATATTCTCACTCTAAATAAGCAAAACGTTTCCGCTAGTGAAGAGTATATTATTCCGCATTGTCACGATCATTAAAGTAGATTGAGATTAATACACTGGTTCACTTAGCTTGTCATCCATACCAGCGATTGGTTTAATAATGCAGTCACACCATGTTTAAGTGAGTATTATACAATCAGCCAATTGAGAGAGCTGTCTACAGAAAGTTGATTGTTCTATGCAATCCCCAGGCATTAGTTGATGGTTTCTTTTCTTTTGTTATTGTATTTGTTTAATTGTACATCATTTTCCCGTATTTTTGTTATTAATATACTCCTTTATGTTCCTCAAAATGACAAAATATGAATACATATATATGAGATGGGCGCGGGGTTAGGAGGATATAATGGGGTAACTGTGTGGGGTATTTGTCATGGGATGATATCGGGTATATTTGTCGGCATAATCAGGAATAGCTGTCCAGATTCGTTGGTGCTGAATCTTACATGAACATCATTTCAAGTTAATGAAGTTACATCATTTTGTGACAGTACTCATTTATCTTTTAAATGATGAAGGATGAGAAAATTCACACTCTATAATACTGATGATTTGCAACCTTATTCTATTTCCACAGATGAACGTGTTCTGATGTGAGTGCATGCCACAGACGTAGACCGGCTACAAGGAAATACAGGCAACCTTTCCTGAAAGCAAAGTTCCGTATGATAATGATAGTGATTTGCAGAGAGTCATGGTGTAACGTGCCGAGGTGACAGGTCATTTAGAGCTTAGCAAAAGCACTCACCGTTTTTTTTTAAATCTCGCAAACTGCTGTTAACCTTAAATCATCATGGACTATGACAGCTCAAACTACTCGTACACTTTTCTCTCTAATGACTGGCTAGATTACGACACTAAAGGCCCCATTAGTATTTTCGCGATCATTTTCTTCGTGCTTGTCATCTTTTTCGGAACCACTGGAAATATTCTGGTCGTCGTAGCTGTCTGGATGAATCCTCCGCTCCGGGCGCACTCGATTAATATATACATGGTCCAGACGAGCATCGTCAACCTTATCATGTCCGCTCTTATCAACCCTGTCTATATCATTACCATCTTTCTCAATTTTAATGATGATAAAACATTGATTGCCGTCGACTATGCCAACCTGGCCGTCATGCACCTTGGAAATACTCTGTCGATGTACAGCCTTTCCGCCGTTGCGACCAACCGGTATCTCCTTATAGCGCGTCCACAAACAACTTTTCAGAGCTGGTGTGTCCCTCGCCGAAGAATAGCCGTTGTGGTTGCTGGTCTCTGGTCAGCAGCGATCCTGACATCCTTACCTTACTGGGCGTTCCTCTACTACGACCTTTATGTTGTCATCGACTCATATGAAGTATACGGAAGACTCGAAATCGCAGGGTACGTGCTTAATTCCATTTGGTATGTACCTGTTATCATTGTTCTCATCATGCATTTGGCAACCCTTCGCGTAATAAGATCAAGCAGAATGCGCATTGAAGGGCATAGGAGCGAAGCAGTGATGAATATGGAGAGAAATGACGTCGTTGTTGATGTTGATCCAGCTCACCAACAGCATAATGGGCTCCACGAAACAATCGCCGTCACCGATGATCATGATGATACCGAATCATCTCGAAGGATAGAGACAGGGATAGGTCATGCAGAAACACCTACAGTGCAGGCTACAACCAGGGCTGCAATCACGGACGATGCAGATTTGCCACATGGGGAACACCGCGCCCCAACCTGCTGCTCACGATTCTGTTGGACAACGCACGGCGCCCTCAACGTACAACCTCAACGAAATCGTGGCCTGGCCACAAGTGAGATGCGACTGTTGAAGATGATGTTTCTCATGTACATCATTCTCCTTATCTCCTTTTTACCAGCCATTTTATCCTTCACTCCGATCATTCAAAATGGACCTGCAATTTACCTCGGTTACTTCGGGTTTTTGATTCCGATCTACCCGGCCACAATGCCCTACATTTTTCTTTGGAGCAACAAAAACTTTCGCTCAGCTGCTGCTAAAGTCATCCTGAGTGTTAGAAGGCATTTTAGAGGACAAGTTGAGCCACACTAAACGAAGAACAATGCTCCTCATAATAATTGATTTACATATAATTTATGTGCATCTTTATTTTGCGCAAGTTCGCATCGCTGTATTCAAATACAGTTAACAACTAAATTATTCATACCCTTAATTACTAAGTTTTGTTATTCTTTAAGTACGTTTCATAAGAATGTGACATAATGAAGCTTACGGTTACGTTTAAGTATTCAACGAAGGCCCCAATTCGATCAGTACACCTCTCATTCTTGAGTTACGAAAACACACACAAAATATACAATTTACAAGGGCTATGAATAATTAAGTTGTTAGCTTTACGTGTACTTGTACCACTTTGAAATGCGATATGAATTGCACGAAAAAGGCTTATGATGGATCAGGATCCCTTAACAGACTTTTTCTTTTCTTTCTTCATTTTTATGAAAAATAATTTCAATCGGTTATATTTTGCATTCAGCTGCAGCTATATATAAATATTATACAAATATACACTGCCTTGAGAGGTTCCGGTTAAAACTATGCGCAAGAGGTTACTCCAATAGTACTATTTGCTGAGGGGCGCAAATGGTACTTTTGGAGTCACCGAGGCCAATAGTTTAACAAGTACCTCGAATAGAAGGCATGGTATATTTGTTTTATATCCTGCATCAAAAATTTATTTTAAAAAAATTATTAAAAAAAACATTTTTGGGAGAAAAAAAATTTAGAACAAAAAAAAATCTAAAGATATTTTGTTTTCATTAACCCATATCCTGCCATGAGGCTGCATGCACGCTACCTATTGAGTGCCATGTGCGTGCAAGGGCGCTTTCGTAAGAGCAGTTATTGTTCATGCTCATTGGGCTGTGCTGTGTGTTTTGCACTCACCATTCATAGAACCTTCGCGTTAATCAGATTATCTCCAAAACAACCTGGCACAATGGGGATTGTACTTGTGGCACGATAAGAGTTAAATTAAGATTTGAAAAAAAAAAAATTGATTCAATTAAAAAAAAAAAATTCACATTTTTTTTTCAACTCCCAAATAGGAAACCAAAATAGTACTCTCATATAGTACTTTCTAAAAATAGGTCAAATATTTCTGGTCATGTGACGAGCTCTCAACCAATCAAAAGCCAACAAATTTTTGATGCAGGATATAATGATTAATAATATTGATTTAACGGGGCAAATATTTATTTAGACAAACGTATTCTATTAGGATGGCTTTATCAAGATTTACTTTTTAATCGATGCTGAGTAAAGAGCTGGCAGCTTTTATTTATTGTCGTTTATCAATTCATACATAAACATGTAAACATAGAAAACGCGTTTTGTCATAAATGGTGATTGACTGATTTATTGATTGATTGATTGACAACATCTGACGAAATAAATTGACTTTTCAGGAATCGAAGAAAGCATTTGGGAACGGGATTCATTTTCCATTAATGGGACTGGTCTATTCTGAATGTAACCATAATAAAATCTAAGGAATATTTTAAAAGGTAAGCGCGTACATGCCATGTTTCGTAACGCAGCATTACAATTACACGTTCAATATAAATTCAGTATATTCATTATTTCATATTGCTGAATGTAGCCATGTCATTATATGTAACAATTTGTTCTGATATCATACTCATAGTTACATTAAAAATATTATGGATTCATGTTTTTAAGGTAACGGTAGGGCGTAGGCGATATAATTCTTTCGAACGTTTGGAAACATGTGTCATACTGATCTCTTCCTTATCTCCACCATTGACTGGCCAAAGACTACGAGACCGACGGGCCACGAGACGCCAATTGATCTGCTGAAAATGTTTTCCCCACTGTTCACTAGACCAATGGCCAGCGAGACCGACAATTTATGTCTCGTCAACCTTGTAACAACCTTTGTTTAATGGTTCACAAGACTGATAGCTCTTGAGGATGCCAGTTTTACCCACGAGAACTACCATTGGTAACATAAGCTGTTGGCTTGCTGGGATGACCATACCAGGGCCAGTACTGTCACATTGATTGAGTCCACAAATACTTTTTATCTTGCAGTAACTGCGCTAGATCTTCATTGAAAGGTTTGTAGAATTCGTCAAGTAACTGTTGTGATGCCGGGAGCAATTTTCCCAGTGATCTGTCCTCTTGCTTTCTCTGATTCTCTCTGAAGGATGATGTGATGTTGAAGAGTGCTTCTTGAGAGAGTGAATCTAGCGAAAATAGAATTAAAGGGGGATGAGAAGATGATGTTCATATGAATATGGATTACGATACCAAGTAAAGGAGATATAATTTATAGTTGAAGGTAGGAAGAGAGGGAGACGGGAATTATATGCTGTGGGGGTCAGAACGGTGGAAATTGGTAGTGTAGATGTTTAAACATCGTACACCCTTTGGGTTTTGTATTTTTGGATAATCCGACATTTGTTCGGCGATATTTTGTCAAGTTTTTTAAAAATATATTTCGTTTAAGTGAGAGGCTTACACACGAGTTGCAATCGTGTTTTGGGTTAGGTTTGGAGCTACCATGAGGGTTTCGTGTGAAGCCAACGATTGATACGGTCAATATTAACAATTGAAAACGGAGCAATTGCCGCCGGATTTGACTGTGTGTCGTCCAATCTTTAAAGAGCAAATTCACCGCACCTACCTATTTCCAAGAAAATGAATATCCTGCTCAGTTCTTTTGCCGGATCTTTAGCCCAGTCTTCGGTTCTTAGGATGTGGATCTGTTCCCGTGGGTACCTCTTCAACCAGTCTCGTATGAAGACAGAATACATTCCTACTCTTAATCTCTGTGAATGGAAAAAGGAGATGTATGCAGTCTTTCATCCATTGCTGCATTGTACACAGCGCACTAAAAACTATACAGTACAGTCATCTTGGTCATAATTATGCACTACGAAAATCATACAACTGGTGAAATATCAAACGAATGAAATGTTCTGATGATACAGTTGGCACCCTGATCGTTGGGTATCTTTCCGGGCTCATGTATTTAGCTTCTTCTTTTTTTCTTCAAAATTGCTGCCAAGGGTTGTCGATGAAGAGGGGGGGGGGGGGGATCCCTTCATTCTGTCAGCACATGTGTAACATTGTTAAATGATTTAGTGTAAATTTGATGACTGACTGTGTTGAAAAATGACAAATCTCGGGACCACGTTAAGGTATCTTGAGTTTGTATGAATATTCGGTAAAGTTGTTTACAAATCGGCCATTAATAAGTATCTGACAAAGTTGTGAGCCACTTACCATATTAAATTTGAAATTAGCACACGTCTCCAGTGGATATTTCTTCATACAGCGGCCGAAATCTTGAAGCGACTGTACAAGACGATGGTGAAAGTCCTGTGGTGATTTGACCCCATGCCACTCCAAGTCAAACGCCATATAACCCGAGTACAGTCTCTCCGTCGGTTCCCTGAGAAGCAGAAGGAAGCGGGATTCAGGTAGAACTGCTCTGAGGACGTCGGCGTGGGTCCACCGAGGAGGCTGGTGGATGGAACCGAATTTACCAAGCGAGTAAGTATTATCCCAGAGTGTACTGGCGGAAGCATCCACTGTAACATTGAAGGTTGATATCTTGTAAATGTTAAGCATAATTCATGAGCTCTCACATTTAATTTTTGTTATTACGTTGTGGAAGAATATCGTTAGATTTGTCACCTGGAAAGAATAATCTTGGAGTGACCCCGTGTTCTATATTTGAAAATAAGAAATATTCAAGATATTATTCCTATTCTTGTATAATACATAATCAATCGTTAAAAAACGACTTCTAGACAGTCTCATTTAAAATGTAATAGCACTATAGGACGATCCAATCCTTATAATAAGTTCATTTGTATGAAAGTAGAAAAATAAGATAAACAAAAGAGATCAAGTTTTACATGAATCGGACTAATAAGAAGAGAGTTATGAATGTTTGAAATATAAGATCACTAAGTCTATGCGAATCTCAAATTAGCAGTTGGTTAGTAAATTGTGACGTAGTCGCGGATTACTCTCCCGTATGTCGAGTACACAATTATCATTAATTTATGTTTTTCTCCTAAGTGCATTCTCCCTTGGGGCACTACCTGTTATATATATAATGGATAGCATATCATTATAGGACCTCTAAAGAGAAAAGAACCTCCTGAGTCATACATGTTTTAATGTCTACTTATCTGACTTTTCTCGAGTCTCGGAGTAGATTTTTTTTGCTATCAAGGTTGGATTACTTTTTAAACATAAGGCCATTCTCTTGAAAAATAAGGCCATATGGCGTATATTTTAAATCATTCATTTTTTTCTAAATTTCTTCCTGAACATGATTGCCAAAAATCCCGCTGGGAGAGATGTTTCTGGCATGATTTGTTTCCTTCGGGGGGGGGGGGGCACCCTGGATATCCTATGCTAATGCTAGGAATCATAATGACCTAATTAAAACCGAACGGTAGATTAATGGAAAAATCTCCTTAAGAGAATTAGTTTAATTAATGCTTCCATCGGTTTGTTATTTTAGGGTATATTATTAGGGATTTACATTGTATTTGTGATGTTAATTGAACTCAGGGAGTCACGCTTTATAACCATGTCGAGGTCATCTATTGATGTATCGACTTCCAGGTAGAGGGGAGCATTTCACAAAACATATCATCAATGACAGTTTTTGTTATGAGCTACTGAAATCCTTGCTTCTGATTGGTTATCAACAGATTTGTTATTGATTTTTGACATTTGTCATTGAACAAAGGCTTTGTGAAACGGGTTCCAGAACGGTGATTTCAACTATTGCAATGAGTAGGATCATCCAGTCGCGTCAAAGGGAAATCCAATTTTAAGCAAACAACGAAAAACAGTTAAAAGAAAGCAGAAAAGTCAGAGACGTAGACTGGTAACAGTTTTAACGAAATCGGACCCCCCCCCCCACACACACACACACACACAAAAAGAAGAGGAAGAAGAAGAAAGTTATGGCATTTTGAACGTTGTAATTACTATACCTTTGGAATCGAGAATATCACTGTGATAATAGTGCCGGACAATTTTTCTATTCGTTCCAACACAAAAGTCACTAATTTTTTTTTTCAAACTCGAGAGTGTCCTTTCTCTTTAGAGGACCTATAATAATATACTATTTATAATACATGTTGGATAGTGCCCCAAGGGAGGTGGCAATTGGGAGAAAAACAGAAATTAATGACATGTTTGCGCGAGTCAAACGGTATAGTAGTCCGTGTCTACGTCACAACTCACTGACAGAATTGATCATTTGAGATACGCTTAGATTTAGCGATGTTATATTTTAAACACTCTTAACTTTCTTTATATTGGTTCCATCTTCTTCAAAATATTCTCCCTTTTGTTTCCTCTTTATTTCTGCTTTTATACAAATTAAATCATTGCAAAAACGGATTCGCCTTTAATTTAAACTGTTCAAGATAAGTCGTGAGTGCTACTAATGGATTTGTTTTTTTGGATGGAAAATGTAAACCAACCACGACTCTGAAAAACACAACACAAATTGGCATATAGGAGATCTTCACGGAACTACACTTTTGATTTGTGATATTGATGAGTTTCAATATAAAGGGGAGTAGCCTTGACAGGGCAATGACCTTTTCTACTCCCTCACCACTTGATCACACCACCTTCATCACTGTGCACTCATTTGATGAATTTGAATTTGAATGTAGAGTTGTAGTATAATGTCGATTTCACTGGAGATAACATTATGTCTAATAAACCGTTTTTTACAAATCGTTTTGCTGATTATCTTGTTTTTTGTTTCGTCTTGAACAATCAATGTACAAGTGTTGTTAGTTCTATTAAAACTTATTGATCGTTGTTATCAGTTTCGTCGTTTTTGCTGCCATAGTTGATATTATTACTGATGTGGGTGTGTGTGTGTGTGTGTGTGCGTGTGTGTGTGTGTGTGTGTGGGTGTGTGTGTATCGGGGGGGGGGGGTAGTTGATAAGTAAAGGGGAAAATACACACATAGCGTACTGCTAGTACAAGGTTCATCGATGTTTTTAATGTAGTGGGTGTGGTAATAGTGGTGGTGGTGGTGGTGGTGGTGGTGGTGGTGGTGGTGGTGGTGGTGGTGGTGATGGTGATGGTGATGGATATGGTGATGGAGGAGATGATGGTGAAATGGTGCTTGTGGAGATGATGATGATGGTGGTATTATTGTTGGTGATGATGATGATGGTGTTGCTGATGGTTATGGTAGTGATGGTGATAGTGAAACTGCCGATGATGATGGAGGTGGCGGTGGTGGTAGTGGTGCTGATGGTTTTGTAGTGGTTTAGGTGATGAGCGTGTGTATGTTGAAACAATGCGCTCAAATCACTCGAAAGAAAAATTCAGAAGAGGTCAAATAAAAAATCTACCTCAGAGGAAAGATATTGAAATACATTCAGACCTGAAACAGATTGATCTTGGAGTAGCTTCTATATCAAAGCGACTAGTGCATACTTTAGTACATGTACTTACGAGTGATTAATCGTCTGTTACCGGTGTCTCGCATCTGTCTCACGAGGTTGGTCTGGTGTTTCAAATAGTGCAGCACACTTTCTCCTTTTCAACAACAAAACATGCAGAAAACAACGTTATAGACAAACAACCTCACTGCAAATATATGATATTCATCATTCTCACTGAAAGTCTTTATCTGACTAGACCGTGCTCTCACATCTTTCAAAAATACTTTTTCGTACTAAATTTTCAAAGAAGTAAAAAAAAAAAAATTCTCGGAGGATCTCGTTATTCTTAAACCACTTTTAAAGGGATCGCCTAATTTGCTGCATGGTAATTGCTGTGACTTATTTGAAATAAAAATCGACATGTTAAAATCAAAAAGTGTATACTAGAGAGGGATAATGGCCAGCATCGCCCACGCCACCCATGGCCATCGGACACTCATGAGTGTCCGGTTGATAACTCGAATCGTTGATGGGAGTATATGCTGAGCATAGACACGTTCCTCTTCCCAATTTTGTCTTGTCTTTTTTATTTTCTTCTTTTGTTTTGTTCTATTTTTAGCCGTTCGAGTGCCGGGAGCGGGGGGGGGGGGGGGAGGGAGAGAGGGGGGTTACCCCGATAATCTACCCCCTTCCTACGTAGCCCACATCAATGGAATCTTACTTGTGAATCTTGTGCGGGTCCACCAGTGTGGTTCTTTGGACGTTGGCACGACGTCAGGATGACGAATCAATTTCTTGAACAGGTCGGTGGTGGCGCACTTTGGAAATCCGGCAAGAAATACATTAGGGAGACATGCCAGGCTCGACCTATCTTCTTCGTGTAAATTAAAACAAGGACTGCGGTATTCGGGTAAAAAGTTTTCGGGGACAACTCGGAAGATCTGTAATGAGTTTAAACAAAATTTAAAAAAACATGCACCACGTTCAGAACGTTCGGAATTATAAAACAATTGATGCAGAATTTTGACGGGAAACTGAAAACCATTCGAAATTCCTGATTTTAATTTAAACATGTTTCAAACACAAAAAAGGGAAAAGAAAAGTTTACGTATTGTTAACCCATTCACACACACACAACAGAAGACATAAATCCTCATCGAATTTGTTCCTGTCTGAATACTTATGATACTTATTGCTTGAAATATTTTCTACCCCCTAATATATTTCTGGAGATCTTAAAGATCAACCAGTACCTACCACCTTAACATTTTTACCCCCTACAAAAAAAAACACGGTTTCCAGGACCCGTCGATCTATGGTCTTTAAACATTTGAATCGGGGGATTCAAGCAGAAGAATATTACTGACACTTACTGCTTTGCCGAGGAGAGTCAGGTTTCTAGGAAGATTAGCTCGATCAAAGACCAGAACTGACTTCCGTTCGAAGTCTTCCCTCATCTCTCTCAGCTGATTCCGTATACTGCCCATCAGATCTGCTGGCAGAACTGGACTATCCTCTTGAATAGCATGTCTCCAGTTTGTTTCATTCAGATATGAGAAATTGTCCATCGTTTTCATAATTCCAGGGGGACTGTAACTGTCTGCTTTTTTCTTGAGTTTCCACAATTCAAGGTCCTTAGAGTGTGAAGGAGCAGAAATTGTAGTTTCGTATTTCTTCCTATCGCGGAAATCCAAGGGCCGAACTTTTAGAGACATTACCTTCTGGAGATCGCCTCCCATATAACCATCCGCGCCTTGTGGAACAACATCGACAGGATCCGCTCCGGAATTCATGACGCCGTTACCATGGTTACGTGATGATGAGGGTCCAGTAGAGTGTCGAAACGTCAAGGACTGCTCTCTACCGGTATCGATCTCTCGAAGATCCTCTCTTCTCAAGCGATCTTCGGCATTGTCAGCTGGTTCTTGACCTGAAATCACGATGTCTAAGTAAGATGCCCTCGGTAGTGATTGGCCCTTTGAAACCTGTCCGTACATCAGCGAAAAGATGCCAGATAATACAATCACCAGACAGATTATTTGTACCTAGTCGATAAAAAAGAATTACAACAGTCACATCATTGCCGTCAGTCTTAAAGGTACTATGTCCCTTTTGCAGCCAACCTCAAATGCTGTAGAACTTTGCAGGAATTATTAATATGTCATGTATGTCCTATCTGTAAAATTTAAACGTTAGCAGTGTCCTCATATTCAAATTATACAAGGAAACCCGTTTACTTGATAGACTTCACTGTCAGACACTATTTAGTGACTGACTGGCTTTTTTTTCTTCTTTGGTAATGACATACATAAACAGAGTTGTAAAGGGTACATGAGCATTTGTCTACATCAATAACCCACTTCTTGTGATAGCCAAGATTAAACTGATTGAATTTTGGCGCAGCATAAAATGTATGACTATTCGGTACAATTGTCTGAAAATCAAGACTATTACTTTTGGGCTCTATAGCCCTAAAGTCGATTCGACAACTAATAGTCGTTATTTTCGCACTTGAAGACATTTTCAAGCCCCACCTTTTTTAGGGAAGTTCTAAATTAGTATAGGATTTCCCGGCCAAATTCGCGAGTTTGTCATTCGAATTCATTTACTTTGCATTTAAGTTAGCGCAGATCAGCTTTGCCATGCTAATTATCATTCATTTTTCCCGATTTTGTACTTAATTTAGGATTTTGGTCGAAGGATTTCATAGATCTGTCATTCAATTTAGAAACTGCTCAACTAGCATTCAAATTAATCGTCACTTGTCGAGGCGTCATTTTTATCATTCAAATTAACACCTGTCATTCGTATTCGAATTATGTTTATTCAAGTTAGGAATGTTAGGGGGAAGAAATGCAACACACGTTTACAGTTTAAAAAAAATGCAATTAAATACATGATTTGCCATTGGGGTCTTTTCTGTTATTCAATTTATTAATTTTGAGGACAAAGCATATGTGTGTAGTCAGACATTAGGTAAAGAAGGGGCGAAATCAAGGGATATGGCATTTCTGAACGGACATGTTCATATACCCCGGAAAAGTGGGGATACAAAAACACCTACCCCAGTCACAATATTGTACCCTGCCTCCATAATGAAATTGTGATAAATTTATGATGAAACACAAGACAAGCAACTTCCTTACATGAAAATTTACACAAATATTGAGACCATCAAGTCCATAGATGTAAGTCTTCTTTTTTTAATCAAACTTAAAGGCTGATGAATATCTGATAAATCTAAAATTATATAACGAGTATAAATGCAAGAAAATAAAATAGGATGAAATACACATGAAAAAACGATCTTGAAAGAAAAAGAATGAGCTATAAAAAGTGTGTAATAAACGAGAAATGTATATTGACCATTAATTTTAGTGCACAAAGTGCTAATTTGAATGCTACAAATGAATTAGAATGCTAGAAGTACACCGTCGCGATGTCAGAAAATCGTGTTGCGCTAAATCGAATGACCAAATAGCGAAAGAAGCACTTTGTTCATTAATTTGAATGAAACATACATAGATTCTAACGAAAACTTCAGAGATTTGAAATCTAGAAAAAGGAATATAAACCCGAGATATACCCGACAGCACTAAAACCGTCGAAATTGAACGCAAGACAAATTAATCGTAATGACAAACTCGCGAATTTGGCCGGGAAATCCTATATTATCTTTCAAATGCAGTTGGAATTCAACGTTTTCATTTTTTTGGCCTGCAAATGGGACATAGTACCTTTAATGAAAAAATGAGGAAAGTGATTATCATATATTTTCATGAAGCCGGGGTAAAAAAAAAAAAAAAGCCATCGTTGTTTGTCAAAAAAATTGGGTTATCACTTGCCGATTGTAATATTTTCACTCATATATATATATATTTATTTATATATAGCAGTTTATCATTTTTACATATTTTAACATGATGTAAGTAAAAAGATGAATTATAGGCAATCGTACCAAACGTAGTGGAGAAGATGTGGGGGGGGGGGGGGGAGGTCATTCCCATCTGATACCCTAACCGCTGATGAACCCAGTATAAATTCGTATAAATTACATTAAACTCAAGGCCCGTAATACACGGCTTTTCGATCGTGACCTACCCTTCCAAATTCGGAAATCCTCGCTCTCTACGTTTCCCATCCCTTCCCCCATTGTCCCGTGGTTACGTGGCATTCTTTCGTCTAACCCACCTGTTCATGACGATTACACTGAGCACGCGAATAATGCTCAGGAATTTCACTTGAACGCAAAAAAAAGATTATGACCTTAATAAAAGAAAAATTCTCTAGCAGCTGTGTACTGTGAATGTATGCTCAACATTGCATACAATTTGATATCCTACCATGCCATTCATCGAAACATTTCTCCAGCTTTTTGTTTTGTGAATGTCATATTGGAGGTTTAAGGTTCAGTCCGATATTTTGCCCGACTGTGCTACATGTACGTTCCCTGATTTCTTATATTACCTGACAGCATTGACTGTTATACAAAAACGTACACTACCATGCAACCACCATCACTCCTATTCCTGTTACTACTAGTAGTAGTACTTTAACTACTACTTTAGTTACTACTACTACTACTACTACTACTACTACTACAACTTCTACCATATTTATGTATTCTGTATCAATACTACCTCTACTGTTATTTCAGGTAAACTATTAGCTTACCAAGAGTTTGAAGAAACGTCGCCTGAGCTCCATCATGAATTTCTTCCCAGGAGCTACCGGAAGCTAGATCTGCTTCAGTCTTTATTTCAATGTAGGACGGCGATTATTCCCTTTAAAGAAATGATTAAAACATTATGAGGATAGTATAGCTAGATAGATCTAAAGGATAATAATAATATCACATTCTTTGAGATGAGCCAATTCAGAATTTAAACGGGGGAACCTAAAATCCCATCAATAGAAACCCATGAAAATTTGGTTCGTAGGGTTTGACACAATAGAAGAGCGATTTCCGGAATACAGTCATTACAGGATCTTAAACGATTTGCTAGAATACACATACAAGTCTGTCACATCCCGTTTACCTACACAACAAGTTCCGGTCTGAGACGCGGAGACAATGCCAAAGATATATTTATATATTTGTTTCAAATGAAATCATAGAAAATGATCAGACAATATATATGGTTTTGAAATAAACAAATCTTTCTTATTATTTTGCTGATGATCTTTTTGTGTCTTGACCACAATCATTAGCTTCTTCTTCTTTTCCTTCTTCTTGTTCTCCTCTTCTTCTTCTTCTCCTTTCCTTTCTTTTTCTTCTTCTTCTCCTTTCCTTTCTTTTTCTTCTTGTTCTCCCCTTTCCTTCTCTTTTTATTTTCTTATCCTTCTTCTTTCTCTTCGCTCTCCTTTTCTTCTTTTACCTTTTCTTCTTCTTTTTCTTTCTTTTTTCTTTTTCTTCTCCTTCTTCTTCTTCTTCTTCTTCTTCTTCTTCTTCTTCTTCTTCTATTTGTTCTCTTCTTCTTCTCCTTCTTCCTCTTCTATTTCTTTGGTTCTTGTTCTTCCGCTTTTGCTTAATAGTCATGATATTAATCTTCTTCCATTTCTTCTTCTTTTTCTTTCTTTTTTCTTTTTCTTCTCCTTCTTCTTCTTCTTCTTCTTCTTCTTCTTCTTCTTCTATTTGTTCTCTTCTTCTTCTCCTTCTTCCTCTTCTATTTCTTTGGTTCTTGTTCTTCCGCTTTTTCTTAATAGTCATGATATTAATCTTCTTCCATTTCTTCTTCTTTTTTTTTCTTTTTTCTTTTTCTTCTCCTTCTTCTTCTTCTTCTTCTTCTATTTCTTCTCTTCTTCTTCTCCTTCTTCCTCTTCTATTTCTTTGGTTCTTGTTCTTCCGCTTTTTCTTAATAGTCATGATATTAATCTTCTTCCATATCTTCTTTTTCTGCTTCTTTTTCTCCTAGATCATCACCATTTTCTTCTTCTTATTCCTCTTCTACTACTACTACTACTACTACTACTACTACTACTACTACTACTACTACTACTACTACTACTACTACTACGAGAGAGAGAAGAGAGAGAAAGAAAGGAAATTAGTCCATTTAACTGGAGCAGATTTACTTCTTATAGGTGTTTACAAACAACGAAACGAGCTCAGCCTTCTATGATTTATGAGTATCGGGATATATTTCGTTATCATAGTGCCAACATCCATCATATTAAAAACTTCTTTTTTTTTAAATGTGAAAACTTACACTTTATGGGTGTATACATTACAAACAACGAAACAAGCTCAGCCTTCTATAGATTCTGAGAATTGGGATCCATTTCGTTATCATAGTGCCAACATCCGTCATAATAAAAACTTTTTTTTTTTAATGTGAAAACTTACACTGTATGGGTGTATACATTACAAACAACAAAACAAGCTCAGCCTTCTATAGATTCTGAGTATCGGGATACATTTCCTTATCATAGTGCCAGAATCCATCATATTCAAAACATATATTTTTTCATATTGCTGTGAACAGTTGCTAAAAGACAGACGTTTATTTGTAGCCAAAATGTTCAACAAGATAGTCACGATCTTGGTCATCGCATCGTCAGCTGTGATGCTGCCGGTCCTACCGGGCTGCCAAGCCGGAGGGTGTGGGTGTCCTCCCCTGTGGACAGCCTTCCAGAATAACTGCTACAGGTAAGCATACATAATTTAAAAAAAGATTATGCAAATAACGATTATGATAATAATGATAGTAATAATAATAATAATAATGATGATATTAATAATGATAATAATGATGATGATAATGGTAATAATAATAATTAACAAAAATCATTATAGTACTAATGATAATAGTCATATTGGTAAAGCGCCTAATACTGCGTTTCTATAGTGAATGTGGATATTCAAAGCGTTTACATTGTAATGATTACCCCGGTCATTGGATTCATTTGCTAATCTGCACATGATAGTGCACACGTTCAACTTCGGGGGGGGGGGGGGGATAATCCGGCGTGCGCCATTTTACAAGCGCACACTTGCCAATCAAATCACATTAATGTTCGCATCCTACCGGGTACCTACCTATTAAATACTTGGTAAATGTAGATAATTGTCTTGTCAAAGGACATTAGTACCGTGGTGGGATTCGAACCGCCAACTACGGGATCTACATTGATGTATCCACTAGACCACGACACCTCTATAGATCAGGAGACTAACACATTTCAGTTTTCAAAAGAACCTTGAGTTCTTGTAAAATCGAAGAATAATTTGTGGGATTTGTCATTCATGTTACGTCCGTTTGGAAAATATAGAATGTGTATGAAAAGGAGTGCTCTTGCCCTCATATTCAAAATGACATGAAATGGCTCAGGTGTTTGGACCAAACAGTCTTGCCACCAGTGTGAGAAGACCTATATAACCACTTACGTGTACATTATATTTGCCCCCCCCCCCTCCTCGAGCGTGCGCAAAACAAAATTTATGAAAATAGAAATACGGCAAAACCATAAACATGGGCTGCGTTTTGAATGGAAGTCCCTAATAATGGGTAATATTTTCTGCCAAAATGACCTTTATAATAATAATAATGATATTGGATATTTATATAGCGCACATATCCACCATGCATGGTGCTCAAGACCCTTATAAATAGGTATGGGTTTAGACGCTTCAGCCGCACACCCCCGTCCAAATTAAATCTGAGTACCCCGCCCTCGGGTGGCTTTTTCCTGCATATGGATATGGCTAATTTCTTATGAATTCGGTGATTCCGTAACCCTTAAGAACACTCACTACATCATTTTTTTGTTTTTATTCGTATTTAATATTTTACCTATTTGACCTATGTATTTCTGTGTTTCCTACCTCGATTTGTGTGTAAGAGGGTTGATCTACTTTGCCGATAAATGGGTAAAGTTCTCGCACTATAGATTTCTAGAGTTATTTTTACTATTTAAATGTATTCCTGAACATTGCCGCGCCGGCATGATAATTATAGATACAGTTTTGGGAGAATACGAACAATTGAAGCAAGTTAACTTCTTTAAAGGCAGTGTAGTCTTCTGACACTACTTCAGATTTACATCTTTAAGGTAAACAAAAAATCTTTCAGATTCATTTGGAATATTGTCATGTTCCTAATTTCTCGCTAGGTATTTCTCGGTGAAAAACATTACTTGGCATGGAGCTGAGATGCACTGCTCTGGTTTCTCCGTTCCTTGTTCTGATGTTGACTCTACCATCAGCCTTGGACATCTCACTTCTATCCATTCGAAAGAAGAGATGACCTTTCTTTCAGTGCTTTATGAAAGTATCCGCAGTAAAGTGGTACGCCTTTTCCTGTCCAAAGCAGCATATCATTATTTTCTTCTCTATGTTCATACTAACAAAGTACTCAAATAATGAGTACATATAATTATGTAAATGGGTTTAAAATGCAAAGTAACTAAAGGAAGAGGGCATAAATCTCATTAAGAATAAGTTTGTGTAGGGTTCTCTTGTATATAGAAGAGAAAGGCGAAGAAATTACGAGAAGAAAGGGAAATGGATCATGAGTAAAGATAAAGGAAACGTTTTGCAACAAATTTCATGTTAGGCACTGATCTGCATGGATTCATTATTGATAATGAAATGGCAAGATTGAAACAAATACGACTTCTAGAATGATCCTATAAACGGATGTATAATCAGCAGAGGCACAGTCCCAGCCAACGAGTAAAGAGAAAGATCCATGTCCTGATTAGGGCTATAGTTAATTCTAAAATCAAAATCAATTTCGAAACTGCGTTAAGATCGAATAGGGGTATATGATAGTAAGTTTCCATTGGCCTATTAAATTATCATCATATTATGTTGTTCCCCATTTTTGATAATTTATATTTGCTTTATACGTATTAATATGTAAGGCACTCTCTATAAATGGTTTTTATGTGATCACCCTATACGGTATGAACTTCCCTACTTGTTTTCTCTAGATCTCTCTCTCTCTCTCTCTCTCTCTCTCTTTCATACTCTTTCTCTCTTGTTTCCCCACCCTTTCCTTGCTTTATCCCCTTTTAAATAAATGCTACACACATTTTTGTTAATAGGTTACATCCACTACCTTTGTATGGATCGGTCTGCATGACCAGACTACGGAAGCCAGCTGGGAATGGAGTGACGGCTCGAGCCTAGACTATGAGAACTGGAAGAGTGGACAGCCTAACAACTTTGGTGGAAACCAGGACTGCACCTTGTTCGGTCCGTCCTATAATTGGCATGATTTCCCTTGTGATTCGGACGGTGACAGTCAATACCATGGGTCAGCTTATGTGTGTAAACTACCACAGTGGTAATGTGTGTAAACTACCACAGTGGTAATGTGTGTAAACTATCACAGTGGTAATGCGTATAAACATCCACGGTGGTAATATTTGTAAATTACCACAAATTGAAATTGAAATTAACATTGAAATTAAGTATATGTTGTCCATTTTGAAACTTCTTTTTCATTGGTAAAAGTTTACAGAGATCAATTTACTAAAAGAAATACTCATAATCATAAACAGTTACAGTAAAGGTAAACTAAATTCATAATAGCTTTAGTTGGGTAAGTTACATGAAATAAGTTTCGTATGATGAGGATGCCGGCAGTGCAAGATAGTTGAAGAGGACCAAAGGTAGGTCTACGCAGAGGAGATGGGTAGAGCATTGAAGAACAGATAGATAGAAAAAGAGATTGTAGATGATAATAAAAAAGGAAAAGGATAGATGGATATATGGATATTATGTGGATATAAAATTATGTGTAAATTACTACAGTGGCAATGTCTGGCAACTACAACAATGTTGAAATGTTTTAAGCACTACAGTGTGTAAACGATCACAATGTTAATCATGTGTAAGCGACCACAGTGGGAATATGTAATCGACCACAATGTTGATGTTTGTATTACTATTATAGTATTAAATACACTATAATAGTGTATGATGTGTAAATGACCACTGTGGTAATGTGTATAAACTATCACAGTGGTGATCAGGCGCGTACGCAGGATTTTTTCAAGGGGGGGGGGGGGGGCTTAACATTTATAAATCGGACCGAAAATTTCGCAACAACTCAGCCAGCCGCTGAATAAGCGGGGGGGGGGGGGGTGGTAAGAGGATTTTTTTTTTTTTTTTTTTTTTTTTTTTTTTGGTCTCGAAATTCGAAAAATTGACATTTTGCTCCGTTGAAGGGGGGGGGGGGGGGGGTAAGGTCACCTTTTTTAGGTCAGCCAAGGGAATTTTTTTTTTTTATTATTTAAAAAAACAAAACAAAACAATCAAGGGGGTGGGAGTATTAGGGGGGTTATGGGGGGTTTATACACATAAAAATACCCAACCCCCCCCCCCTGTTTACGCGCCTGGTGGTTATATGTGTAAACGGACTAAATTTTGATGTGTTTTAAATACTACAGTGGTAATGTGTGTAAGCGACCACTGTAGATTACCACAATGGTGATGTGTGTAAGCAAACAATAAATAGTGTGTGCTAATGACCAGAGTGGTCGTTGACATAATCAATAACAGTTGCCTTTAAGGTAAATCAGATGTATCATTTTAAGAATCGTGTACAACAAAGAGAGAGAAAGAGCGGTGGTAGAGGGAAGGAGAGAGCGAAGGGTAGTGAGCAACAAAGAGAAACAAAGATAGAAAAGGATCTCTTAATGAAAGAATGGAAGAAAGGATGATGAAATGGGAGAGATAGAAAAGTAGGAGAAGGAGCGGAGAGTTAGAGAGAGAGAGAGAGAGAGAAAGCAAGATATATACAGAGAAAGATGGGGAGAGAGAGAGAGAGAGAGAGAGATAGAAAAGGAGAGTGAGTGCGAGAAGGTAAGAGAGATAGTTAGAGAGAGAAAGAGCGGTATTAGAGGGAAGGAGAGAGCGAAGGGTAGTGAGCAACAAAGACAAACAAAGATAGAAAAGGATCTATTAATGAAACAATGGAAGAAAGGATGATGAAATGGGAGAGATAGAAATGTAGGAGAAGGGGAGGAGAGTTAGAGAGAAAGCGAGAGAGAAAGAGAGAGAAAGCAAGATATTTAGAGAGAAAGATGGGAGAGAGAGAGAGAGAGAGAGAGAGAGGTGGGAGAGAGACAGATGAAATAAGATATATGACAGAAGAAAAAGAGATAGAGAGAGAGCGAGAGGGAGAGAGAGAGAGAGAGATAGAAAAGGAGAGTGAGTGCGAGAAGGTAAGAGAGATGGTTAGAGAGAGAAAGAGCGGTATTAGAGGGATGGAGAGAGCGATATGAATCCATATGAAAACAATAGGGGTCACCTTACATTCTAAAGAGCTACAATGGATTTTGTATGGGCATATGAGCACAAGAGCTCGCACGCACTGATATGTATCTTAAACGGACCCTCACTCCGTTATTAATGGTCAGAAAAAGGTGAACAAGGTATTAAAATGCTTGAAAAATGTGCTAAATATGATGACGAAGAAAATTTGGCGATTCTGTTTTGCAAAATGTCAGAACGCGCGAAAACGCGCGCGCATGCGCGTGTGCGAGATATTTTATAAAATGCTTTAAATGGCCTAAAACGTATGCTAAATGATTTGAGTTTTTTTTTGTGCATTTTAAAATTTTTGCGCGCCACCGACGCGCGCATTTTTTGACCTTATATTGACCGGACGAATATTGACCTTAATCATGATAAATATGAATCAAAAATGGCTTTTGGTTATGAAGATATGATCATGAGTTGATTTTCAGAAAAATTTACAAAATGGCGCCTAGATGACGTCATCAGTGAAGGTCATAGTTGAAAACGTTATTGTGTTTTGTACATATGCCTATACATATATGTGTGCCAAATTTGAGCCATTTTCAAGTAATCGTGCTTGCAAAAAAGTGGTTTGAAATAAGTAAAATAAATAATAAAGGCAATTCTAATGAAATTATAAGGTGTTCTGTACGCTATACAGCCCACCTGATAATAAAGGCAATTTTAACAAAATTATAAGGTGGTCTGTATTAAATACAGCCCACCTAATAATAAAGGAAATTTTAACAAAATTATAAGGTGGTCTGTATTAGATACAGCCCACCTGATAAATAAATAAAGGCAATTCTAACGAAATTATAAGGCGGTCTGTACGATATACAGCCCACCTGATAAATAAATCAAGGTAATTCTAACGAAATTATAAGGTGGTCTGTACGATATACAGCCCACCTGATGAATACATAAATAACAAATGCAAATCTAACGAAATTATAAGGTGGTCTGTACGATATACAGCCCACCTAACAATAAAGAATAATAAAGGCGATTTTAACAAAATTAAGATACAGCCCACCTGATAATAAAGGCAAATCTAACGAAATTATAAGGTGGTCTGTACGATATACAGCCCACCTTATAATAAATAAATAAATAAACAAAGGCAATTCTAACGAAATTATAAGGTGGTCTGTACGATATACAGCCCACCTGATAATTACAAAAATAACATTAGTAACACCACCAACCATAATAATCATTGTTGTCATTATTATTGTGATACTGCTTCTAATACTACTCCTACTACAGGTACTAGGAAGAAGGAGGGGAAGAGGAAGAATCTTATTGTTTATTTGTTGTATTATAAAAAATGCACAGGGAGGTAAAAGAGGGAAAAGTAAGGCGATGAAGAGGGAGAGAGAGGAAGAGAGAACGAGAGGGGATAGCCTATGGCCCGGGTTCAAATTCAGTTCTCTTTAATTTATTTGACCCAGTACTGATGATCATAATTTTATCTACCATGTGATTGCCATGTGTACGCCACACCGAATAGCACTAGCTCACATTTTGTTATTGTTGTCAAGAACTTATTGGCATGCAGCCAGTAGATTTTCATTATGTGTTTGATCTTGTATTGAAAAAAAGATCAAACACATCATCATAATCTACAGAGTGCAACCAAAAATTTCTTAACAATAATTGAAATTTCTTTCAGGAAGCCTAACACTCAAAGCTGTTTTTGATTCAAAGAGCATCGTAGAGACGATGAACAAATAAGAATAATAATACATTCACTTCTATTTTCCCCGCCAAATAATCCGAGCAAAAGAATCAACCGAGGGTAATCAACTGTTAAACGAATTTATCATGAGTCCTTGAAAAATTAATTAATACTTCTTGTCAAATATTAATGAAGAACAGCCAAGGCGAACGCGATAGTCACTACAATTCAGAAATCATTGCTTGCATTGCTTTTCTCTCAAAATTACCGTGAGATATCAAGCTACATAGAACTATGATCGACTCTTGAAAACAGTCAGAAACATTAGAACTTGAATGAATAAAACATAATGCAAATGAATAAGACTAGAATGAATAGGACACAAGTTAATTTCTACCATTTAAATCATCCAGTACCAAATACCTGAGCAAAATTCGAACCAGATGCATTTAATGGTAAACTTAAAGACAATGATTCATGACAATTGTCAATTGTCATGAGTTTATCGTCTAGACGTATTGCAAAAGATAATCAGAATAATAATGATCAGAATGATACCTCTACTATAAGGCCTAATTCTACATGTACACTCTAAGAAAAAAGGGTGCAAAAAAGGGTGCAAAATAAGAGTTTGCACCCTTTACATAAAAATGAACCCTATTAAAGGAAAAGGGGTTCAAAAAAGGGTGCAATATAAGATTTTGCACCCTTCCCTCAAAAATGAACCCTAACAACCCTTAAAGGTGCAAAATAAATGTTTGCATATCGCATGCATATTCATGATTACTTTCCACGTATTCACATAAAAATACATTTATCATATGATTTGTTAAGCAAATTATGACAATGCACATCAATTATGTGATTTTTATTTTCCTTAGGCAATCATTAACCAATAGATTATTTTGTCTGATCATGTTACAATTACATTCACGTTTTAGCAATATATATATTGATTATATTTTTACTAACCAAGAAACATCATGCATGTTTAATATGTATATGTGTACGAGCAAATATCACGAGTATTCCTCGATGATGGGTGCAGGATTGCACCTTTTAAAGGGTGCAGGATTGAACCCCTTAAGGTGCTGCTATTGCATCGGTTTGCACCCCTAAAGGAGCAGGATTGAACCATTAAGAGTACTAACATGTCTCCTAAAAGGTGCATTCTGGCACCCTCCTAAAGGGTGCAGGATTTAACCCCTAAAGGTGCTGCTATTGTTGCCTCGGTTTGCACCCCTAAAGATGCAGGATTGAACCATAAAGGGTACTAACATTTCCCCCAAAAGGTTCAATCTGGCACCCTTTTGAAGGGTGCAGGATTGCACCTTTAAAAAGGGTGCAGGATTTAACCCCTAAAGGTGCTGCTATTGTTGCATCGGTTTGAACCCCTAAAGGTGCATAGTTGCACCATTTTTTCTTAGTGTGTACTACACTACTGACATTGTAGATTATGCTGATAATACAGATGATAATAATGATATGATAACAATTATAATAATACTATATACTTATACTAATCGTCATCAAAATCATCATGTTCATATTCATCATAATGATAACAATAATGATTATAATAATTACAATAATAACTTATCTTAACGATAATAATCATGATAAGGATAATAATCACAATAACAAACATAATAATTACAAAAATAACACTAGTAACACCACCAACCATAATAATCATTGTTGTCATTATTATTGTGATACTGCTTCTATTACTACTCCTACTATATGTACTAGGAAGAAGGAGGGGAAGAGGAAGAATCTTATTGTTTATTTTGTGTATTATCGAGGCATACAAATGCACAGAGAGGTAAGAGAGGGAAAAGTAAGGCGACGAAGAGGGAGAGAGAGAGGGAGAGAGAACGAGAGGGGGTAGCCTATGGCCCGGGTTCAAATTCAGTTCTCTTTAATTTATTTGACCCAGTACTGATGATCATAATTTTATCTACTATGTGATTGCCATGTGTACGCCACACCGAATAGCACTAGCTCAAAAGATTTTACTCACTAATATATATATATATATATATATATAGTAAAGCTACATACACTTAACTGAAGGAAAGAAACCTA